CCTCCCCAGTGCCTCCTGCTGCAATGAGGCAGCTGGGAGGAGACGCTGCGAGCCATCCTTTCGAGAGCTTGCAAGATGCCTAGGTGCTCTCAGGGACAGGAAATCGTGACATGCCTCTCGCCAGCATCATGACAGCTCTTGGGCTGAGAGGTTCTGTGCCGGAGTTTGCTAAAAGCTTCGTGTGCACTTGCTGTCACTGCTGTCTCTCCCCCGTGTATCCATATATACCCATCTATCTGGGTGTGTTTCTGCACTTACCCATGGCAATAGCGCCTTCCAGAAAGTAGCTACTTTTTTGCAGATTTTAGTTGTCTCATGAGTAAAAAAAATGGCCATTAGGATAATGCTGTATTTCTATGGTGTTTTCCTTCTAAGGATTTCTTCAAGCCTTACAATTACAGAGACTTACAACACTGCACTGGTCCCCTGGGCTCAGGAAGAGCTCCAGTGTACGAGCAGGAGAGAGGAGGCGCAGGCAAGTGCTGCAACTTGGCCAGGCCTGACAGGGGAGGCAGCAGCTGAGAGTCTTGACTCCACATCGTGTACCTGGAACATGTCTTTACCTTGACAGGCATGTTGTGCTTCATCCAAATATCATATGCAATGCTCCCAAAGGCTTTGGGAAGGGGATGGAGAAGGCAGCTTTTATCTGCAAAGAGGAGTACCCAATAGAAAGCTGTTGTAGTACGGCATAGGGTAGACTGTGGGCTAGTGGGAAAAGCTTTGCTGGAAGCAGTAGACCAAAGAGAATTTTCCCCATCAGGGGATCTGGCTTCAGCTCTTATGAGAAGGGCTTTGTGTTAGCAGTGATAGGCAGGAAGAGCCATATGAAAATTGGACTGAAATCCTGCACACGCTGCCAATTGGGAGTGCAAACTGTAGTGGGAAAACTTATGGAGGAGTGCAATATTGCCATGCAGAAATCAAAGGAACTGGTGAATCTGAAATGCTTTTAAGAACTGAAGACAAACTCTCTCAGCCTCTTGTGCCACTGAATTAAGCACACGGCTTTGTTCTACAGCCTGTAATGTTAGTGGCAATGCTCACTGCTCACACACACAGGACATAGCTGGTGCCTCCCTGGATTACATCCTTTTCTTACTTCTTCTGTTATGTGTTGCCACATCTCACTAGACTTGCTGGGAACTGTAGGCACATTCTAGATAATGCCTGAAGAGCTGCACAATAATCAAGAGGTGAATTCCCAGTGCTGGGTAACTTCTGAAGCTGCAGAAGAAGGAAAAAAGTATAAAGGAGGAGAGAGAGAAAAGGCAGGAGGAAGAGAAGTATTTGCTAGACTTCCTCACATTCCTCTACTGTTCAACCTCTTCTAATTATTGAGACCCAACAGGATATCTGGAACAGGTTATCCCAGAAAGCACCCCAAAACACCCATTTCCACATGAGAAGCTATAGCTCTAGAAGTTCAACAAATGGTGCTGGCACATGCCACTACTCCATTGTCAAAATAGTCAGTCTGCAATTGGATACAAAATCCCTGTGTTTTGTACAAGGCATTTTCCATAGAGCAGCCTAGTTTGCACTCAGATTCAAGAGCCTGTACACTTCAACTTGGGATTTGAAGAGCAGTGTTAACCCCTCCATTGCTAAGGGACAGATCCCTCTTCCTGCATCAGGAAGCTGTGGCAAAGGCAAGAGCGATGATGAAGTGGTGTTCAAGGGTCACAGGAGTGTGGGAATAAGCTCTGCTCTACAGTGTAGGAGACCCAGGATGGCTGGCTATTCAGGTGCTTCCTGAGTGGTGACCTGGTGAAGCCAGCATATTCAGCCCCAGGCTAGAACAGGGTTCTAGCTAGAGCTAGAAATGTTGCTGCTCCCAACTTTTCAGTCATGACCAGAGGCTATAGCAAGTGTCAGGAGGAAGATCCATGGGTGTGAGGGCTTTTGCAGCTTAGGGATGGCTTCTCAAATAAATGCCCCAAAGTTGGGCCAGAACACAGTGGTTGAGGAAGCAGAAACCCTCAGGGTGTTCCAAGTCCTTCCAAGAACACAGCGTGAGAGCTACTGGATAATACAGTGGGTTTTGAGGACACTGAAAAGGGTTAAACTGGGTATAAACTGTCTCTATTCTCTGCCCAACCCATCATAATAATGGGATTGCCAGAGCTTGTTCATGTGAGACAATAACACAGTATAACGTGGCCATTTCTGAGGACCCAAATATAACTCTCCATCTTTGAACATACATGGGACAAAACTAGCCATCCCAAGACCTTGGGTATGGCATTTAAAGCCATGGGTGACTGCTGCAAGAAGCCAAGAAGGCTGAAACTCATCCTGCCTGTGTCTGGGCTAAGATTGCCATAACTGAGTTATGCTGCTCATTTGGAAATTATCTTAGCTACAGCTGAACTCCGTTCTCTTTTAATTTATATGATTCCACCATCTCTTCATTTCTCCTTTATTTTCTTCCTCCCTACCACCTTCTTCAGTAAGCAACTGTGTTGAAATATTCCAGCCCCTGTATCAGCCTCCTCCAGCAGAAGTTTCAGCCTCCTCCAGCTCTTACATCTTTCATATGTGCTGGTTTAAACTTTCTGTGTGAATGAAGATAAGGACAGGGAACCATATTAAAAACTTGCATTTACTTCACCTTCAGGTATGAGTCTGAGCTTTAAGTTCAAGCCTGATCCCTTCCTAGTTCCCAGACTCTCCCAGGTCTGCCTGGGGGTGCCAGGTGGCATGGTGTAGATGGGAGACTATGACTTGGTCACTGTATGGTGGATCTAAGTTTGGATTTTTCTCTAAGTTTCAATGTTATCCAGTTTGGCCCCAGTCCAACCATGATCATTACCCCAAGCCCAAACTTGGTTCCTCCACATGCCTGGGATAGGGTTTTTTTAGGGGTGATAAACTTACACATCATATGTGTTATCTATCTTTTGTGATAAATGCCAAGCTGTCAGAACAAAAATATCACATAAATTACACATGAAGTATTTACATTAAAAAAGATGAACTCATAAGAATTTAAACAACCTTTCTGATAGTGCCATCATTTGCAGCAGGTTAACCAGGTATTGCCAATGTTTCCATTTCTGGAGTTGAAATAAACACAGTATGTCAAAATGGAGTAATCAAACCAAAACAAAATGTATTTAACATGGTGCAACAGTCAATGCCATAAGAAATCATTAAGTATGCACAGTCACATATAATCTACACATACTAATATAACTTTACAAATGTGATATTACATGTTGATACACACAGAACGGACTTGGGAGGAAGCACTTGTTGCCAGCCCCACTGGGAAACAAGACAAGTTTCTTATCTACTTGTAAGGTAGGCTGAAACAACACTTTGTTTTTGAAAGTGACCATATTGGGATTGTATTGCATTCTCCTGTGAGTTAGAGTGGATAACAATCTCCACCATTGACAGGACAAAATGGTATGGGGTTTGCTCAGCATACGACCATCCCTTGTGGGATGGAGGTTTGGAAGGTGCAAAGTCCCTGGTGGATGCCCAGTGTGGCCAACAAGTTTCTTGAATTGGTCTCTGGCTCTTGGAGGGTCTCTGGCCACGCCAGAAGGGCAGCCCACAGCCCAGAGGTCAGCAGCATGCTCTGTCAGGACCAGCCACCTTCCACACTGGGCATGGCTGGGACTAGTTCCTAAAGGTGGTACACCTGCTCCAGGGGAAGCCTTGCCAGAAGAACCTGGAGCCCCAGCAGGAGTGGCCGGTGGGGCTAGCTCCCAGTTGTGCTCCCTGCCCGGAGCTGGGGTGGCACAGCATCTTGCCTGGGCAGGTTGCAGTGGGCTACAGGCCAAAAGCCCTCTCCAGGGCACATGGAAAGCTGAAAGATAACACAGAGCTGTCCTACAACTGCTGTAATAGACACTGTGGGTGGAAGAACTTCCTAACAACTCCAGACTATCTGTGGGAGGATTAATACCACATTCACCTTTCCCTCTTCAACCCCTCTCCTCTTGTCAAGCTTGCACTGTGCTGAGCAAGTGGTAGGAATGAGACAACCACAAACCAGACCTACAATCCTAAAAATAGTGGCACTAACAGGGCACTGATCTACATTATGGCTCTCAACGATTGCTAACAGAGGTGGAGCTGGACAAGCTTAACTACAGCTGGAAAAACAACAGTGTCTGCTGCAGACCAGGTAGTGCAAGATGAACAAAGAATATTTTGCTTTGTTGGTGTATGTCACTGCTCTGGAAAGTCCTGAAGTTCTCAGTACGTCTCAGAGGCCTAATAATTTGTGGCTGTGTAAGCAGTCAGTGACATCTGTGCTGTGAATACCTTACTTTTGTCCAATGGAAGATAATTACACAGTGAAAGATATCCTCACTGGCAAAACCCCAGAAAAACTGGAAAGCAGAACTGAGAGAACTGAAAGAAAAGGAAGATGAGGGTAAAGTGAGAGGAGGAGAACATGAAGAAAAGAGAGAATAAATGACAGAACAACAAGAAAAAAAGGATTGGGGAAAATAAAGTAATAAGAAAGCACCTCATTTGGGGTTTGGGGTTTGCAGGAGATGACTCAGCGCCTGCAGATCTGAAGTTTCCTTCTGACTTGACTCTAGCTGGCCATGTGCCTTGCGCTCTATCTGAGTTTCTTACCTTGTAAAGCATCCGAGAGGGCAAATGTACTGGCAAAGCACAGGCTTTAAAAATCCTCCAACAGCCACAGCAGCGAAATACTGTGACTGAAACGTAAAAAAAGACTGAGGGTGGAATGGGAGGAGATTCAGGGAATCAAGGAGCAAAGAAAGGGTGAGGAGTAAAAGAATGGGAGGAATGGGGAACAGAAGACCAGGGAGACCAGCCGGAGGGGGAGAAGCTCTCGGAAATGGTTAGCTGTTGGTCAGAGTGACTGTGTCCTCTTGCAGTGGCAAGGGGAAGAGCTGAAGCTTGTCCTGCCAACCCACTGTGGAGACTTGTGCTTGCAGGCTCTCCACTGGTGGCACCTCTGCAAGCCCTGCCTCGGGGCAGAGGAGCCAAGAAACCATGGAGGCCTGTCACAGAGAGGTTTCTAGACAGGAGGAGCGCCTGACGTAGAAATGCCGCCTGTTGTGCCCCTCCGGCCTGTGCACAATCAGAACAGGGAAGAAACGGGCATCATGGTAGGTTGGGGGGTTTTCATTGACAGCCAGCTGGCTGGAGTAGGAGCAGCACTGCTCATCCTGGCAGCCTCGCTCTGCAATGCTGCTGCTGCGGCTCCTCCAGAGGCCTGTCCTGTGGGAGCCGTGGATGCGGCAGAGGGAGAAGCGGCTGGTGTTGAGGGAGAGGCGGGAGTTGCCACTGCAGCTGTGGAAAGCATGGCGTGAGAAGATGGAGGAGGTGCTGGAGGCACGGTTGCAGCGTTCACACCCGTGGGCTGTCTCGCCATACCGACACACCGTGTAGCTGTTGTAGGCTGGGGAGTTGGCCAGGTCCATGAGCATGGCCTCTGAGTAGCTAGGGATCAGCTGCCGGTTGGTGCAGATGTGCCACTCCAGTTCGGTGCTGTCATGCGTGGTGTCTCGGGGCATGCGATACCAATACAAGGGCTCCTCCGCTGTGGTGGGTGCCGTGTACTCCAGACCCAGCAGCTTCTCCACGTGGTAGTGGACATAAGCAGTCTGATACTCTATGAGTACCCTGAGTGGCCATGAGATCATTAGGATAGCTGCCACCCAGAAAGCATAATGGGACACGTACCATGGGAGGTGATCTGGGTCTCCATAGGCCATCATAAGCTCTTTAAAATCCACATTTTTGAGCTGCATGCCTTCTCTCACCTCCATGTAGTCATCCAGCCCCTCAATTTCTGTGAAGAAATGAGCTCTCTGAGTCAGGTAAGAGTTCTCAGATTCAATGTTGGCAAAGCTGAAGCACTTGGTGAACCTCAACTTGGTGGCTGTATAGCTCTCCAAGCCCAAGAGCTCCTTGGATATGTCCTTGTATCCACAGTGAGAATAGTCAAACTCAGCTTCAGCCACGTGGGTGTTGACCCTCTCATGGTAGACCTGTGTGGTGGTGTAGGCATCACCGTTGCGGTACCGGGTCACTTGCCGGGTTCGCCGCACAAAGTGGTAGCTGATGGCCTTCCACCAGATGCACGGAGTGGCTTGCTGCATGCGGTTGATGCATTCATAGACACTGTCCACATCTGCCTTGTACTGCAGCTCTCTCTTGACGTGACAGTGCCAGCACTCCACCAAGTACACCACATACAGCATAGAGAGGAAGGCCAGTGGGATATAGACATAGCCGTCTGAGCATGGGCTGTCATGGTAGATCATGGATTTGCCCTTGAAGGAGCTATCAAAGCTGAGCTTTGTGACTCGGGCCAGTTGACACCAGGCCACGGCACCCAGGCAGCCGTACATGAGGATGGAGAGGAGGAGGCATTTCCAGTGGGACTCTCGGCACATGCAAGCACTCAGAGACTGTTTCATGGGGCGTTGCTTCAGTCACACCGCCGTGCGAGGGGAAAGAAAGACAAAGAGAGAGCGGGAACCCATCAGTCATGCTGCTTTGCACAACACACACACTGACTGTTGCCTTCAAGACAGTGTCTGGCTTTGCTCTCGACTGCCTGAGGACTGGGACACCACCCTACTTAATATAAATGTGAATATAAACAGAAACACCCTGCCAGGGAGAGAGGTCTCTGGACAAAGCTCCTTCCTTGCTTACTCCTGGCCCTGGGGGTGGAAGTTGTTCATGCAACAGTGACTTGCCATGCCTGTGCCCTGGTCAGACAGGCCCCTCTGCAGGGAGAAAGACAGGTCCCCATCTCCTTCTTCCTCCCTGGAGCCAGGATCATTTATGCACCCTGCCATCTTCAGAGGTTGAGAGGGCTTTGCAGCCCAGAACAATTATTTGGTGAACAGCCAAAAGCGTGGCGCTCTGGACTTGCCCTTTTGCTTTGTGAGTGCCCAGCATTGGGGCTCCCACATGCAGCTGTTGGGGAGGGTTGGGATCAGCGTCTGTCACAGGGCTGCAGCCCCACAGGTTGTGCCAGCATAGGGGGACCAGCGCTTCATTGAGCTAGAGCTGCTGACTGACTCAGAGCTGACTCATACCCAACCCTGAAACCTACCAAATGATCGAGACCATTTTCTTGGAGGTGAGCCACCGGGAAAATGACTAGATTCAAGCACATTTAGTTGAAAAAATTGTCAAGATTACAGCACAATGCAGCATAGCTTCAGGCTGGTTAGAAGACTAGCTCTGACCTAAAATATCTGAAAGCTTAAGCGCTGGAGCTAAGGGTATGTCTGAATATTTAAAACATGGCACATCCCTCTCTTTCAAGTCCCAAAAGTCAGGCTGTGAGTAGAGCCAGAGTCTGCACTCCTGTACTCCCACTGCGTCCCCTGAGACAGCACGATTGCAGTTCTTACCCCAGCCATGATGCAGTGAATCAGCTGCATTGTCATGCAATATCCAGCTATAATCAAAAATGCCAAATCGAGCCAAGCAGCTAGCGGAAACAGACTTGTCTCCCTGCAAAGAGCAGCAGCAGCATGAGTTATATTACTGGCTGGCCAGCTGCCTGTCTGTAAAAAGTGCATGAAGAAAGAGCCCCTGCTGCCCTGATAGGTAACGTGAAGGGCTGGCTGTGTCCCTTTTCTTACTACCATCCTCTGCCTTTCCCCTAACTGAGGAAATGAAAGTGAGAAAGCAGATACACACTGATACTTGTGCATTATGCCCTCTGCTGAGCCTGATTTTATGCGAAAATAGAAGCACACTGTTACTCCTTTTCCCAGGGGGCCACCCCTAATGCACCAAACTGCTCTGCAGATGCCCACAGATGCTAGGTTTGGGAAATGTCTTCACTTTCTTTCTCCACAGATAAATTTCTCCCTTAGTAAAGCTTATCTTGGATCTACAGCAGTTAGGATTCAGTAAATAATATTGAAACAGCAAGGAATTTAAGGAGTAGCATTGTATGACTCAGGAAATAATAGCATGGCGCCACTCAAAAGAAGAGTTTGCTGTCTTCTCAATGAGATGGAAGCATTGGCATCTAACCTTGCAGGGCTCTAGGGCCTTTTTTTTCTTGGAAAAAGAACCACTTCTAAGTAACTATAGAGGGGTTTATGACTTGCTATGAACACTGCAAAATTAGACTTAATGGGGTTTGGTTTTGAACTCATAGCTTTTAATCCAACACTGTGTAAGCACAGAGTAATTCCAGTGATTTTAGTGAGCTACACCAGTATTCACCTGCAGGGATTCAGGGCAGAATATGGTCCCTGACTCTTCTTGATGGAATCTGTAAAGAATTTCTATTCTTATCCCCAAACTTTCGTATGTGTGCATGTCTCAGAATAAAGAATAATTATTCTGAGCTGTATTTTGGCTGCTGTATTCTCTTTATAGGAGTTAAAACAGTTGCAGAGAAGCTAAATGGGCTATAAAGTACAGGGTACCTAACTTTTGTAGGTAAGACAGTGAAAAGTATGGGTAGTAATAAGGCTGTTTTCCTCAGCCTTTTGCAGGAAACCTTTAGGAAAGCCATAAAGTGGCTTCAGGCAGTCCCCAAAACAGCTGAGAAATAACTATAGAAGTTTTGGGAGTGAATCCCTGAGACTACAGACAGTTATGGAGAGTTTCATCTCTTGAAACCCTTGTCAAATGACTCAGTCTCTCAGTGTGGTTACTGTCCCAATGTAGGCTTCTGCCCCAGCTGTACACTGAATCCCAGGTCAGAGCCTCAGGCTCTCTTGACTCATGGAAAATCCACTGGAAGTTACTGTGTTTTATTCTTTGTCTCTCCTTGACATGGAACTAGAGTTTTTAAGTGCTACAGTAATGCAAAAATATGGACTGTATAGAAGAATTGTAAAGCATTACCATTTTTTTCCCTGCAAGTTTTGTGAGGTGAAGAAAACTCTGAACATTAACATCTCTCTACTCCAGGCACTGAGACTGTGCAGAAGAAAACAGCTGGGCAATATTCTAACATATGAATTTATGTTCACATTCAGACTTCCACAGTTACCTCTCATGTAAAATCGCTTGTGGTTAATACTGTGAAGTATGCCAGTGGACCTAGCAAAAAATGCCCAGCAGTCAGTTTTAATGTGAGTCCATGCAGCTCTGGGAACCCCATTTTTGTGTATGACTTCTTGGAAGTGCTGTCAGCCTGACCCTGGACACAGCCATAAGAGAAGGTTGTCCTACATCAGTTACAGTACTATTTGCCAAAGGCACTGCAATCCCACCTTCCCTTTATCTCACTTCCCTTGACTAATAACTTCACTGTGGTCTGATCTACAACCCACAGGTTGGATTCTACCCAAGAGGTGATTCAACCAGCCCTGCGGGTTAGGGCTATTAGTGGCCATATCAGGGTGGGCAAATGCCTCCTAATGTGCTTATCTCTGTGACATGTCATCTCCCCCTTGGGGGATGCGATAGCTCTGGTTTTACCAGTCCTGGAGCAGCACTCAGCTGGGTTGGCAGTAGCTCAGAGGCTTGCAGGTCTAAGGTGACATTTCTCTGTGTGTCCTCTGAAGGCACTTCAAAACTGGACTTCAACCCACTGCACTGAAAGGGCTGGATCAGCCCAAGCCAGATTTCCTCCACTATTCTCACTGCAGCCTATAAAAAATGCAGTTTCTCTCCTCTGTATTAGTGAAGACATGCAGCCATAGAGCCCCCTGCCACATGTGATTCATACATCTACCAGTCCAGCTCAGCAGGGCCTTCAAGTTCAAAACCATTTGGTAAAAACACAGTTCTTTTCTCACAGCTCTTCTGACCCACTGTCTCATTCCCAGTGTTGCTCCTAAGCAGATCCCACACTTTGCAGGTCCTCGGTTATAAAAGGATCTCTCTTCCGGGGTCTACCCCCACAGCTGCCCCACCTATTTCAAGTTCTGAACACATGCATCTGGCCTAGATCCCCTTACTTCTTCTTCCCTTTGCTGAAATAATTATCTAACACAATTATGCTATTAGAAACACCATTAGAGTGTTCCTAAGAAAGACACAAAATAAAACATAATTACAATCAAGGTATCAGACATTCAAAAATCTAATAAGGAAATATATCTTTTAATCTCTCTCTGCATAACAAATTCACTAATATGTTAAACTAGTGGCTCCCAGACTTTATTAATTAACATACCACCTTCTTGCGAGAATGATGTTTGTGGTACTGCGTGGAAGTTTCTCCTTTCTGTCCAGAGTATTTCAGATCAAAACAGGGCAAGCTTGTATTTCTGGATGAGTACAATAAATGCTTAAGGAAGCTAATAATTTCCATGATAACTTGGGCCAGCCAGTGAATGGGAGTCACATCCTTTGAGGAATGCTGTGGGATCTGTGTTGTTTTGATGTGGAATAAAAGAATAAGCCCTGGAAAATTTTAATAGAGAAACATAATTGAAGAAAGCAGAGTGCTTGACAGAAAGCCAGAGTCAAACAAGAGACTAGAATAGATGGAGGCTCAGTCACCAGGAACTACCTCTGCAAGCTCAGACTCACAGATTTGGCTCTCTAACCCAAATCAAGAGAGGTGGCCTTCATCTCCTGCTTCTGGGGGGCTTTGCTCTGGGCTCTGCTTCTAGCATTGACCTGATAAACATCCTGACAGATTAAATGAGGCACAGGCTGGCCAGAGAACTTGTGGATGCTCCATCACTGGAAGTGTTCAAGACCAGGTTGGACAGGGCTTTGAGCAACTTGGTCTAGTGTAAGATGTCCCTGTCCATGGCAGGGAGGTCGGAACTAGATGATCTTTGAAGGTCCCTTCCAACCCAACTGTTCTGTGATTCTACAACCACGTTACTGTGAAGAAGGACGGCTTTATCAAATCAAATGTTTCAGCCAAAAGGTCCCAATGAACTCTAATGAAAGTACAAATTGTAAAAATTTCCCGTTTTGGATGGAATGCTGCAAAGAAGCACAGCTGAGCTGTCAGTATCATTGCTTATGAATTTCAAGCTGTGTTAAAAACACGTGCTGTAAATAACATCTCGCTATGCTCTGGCATGCTGTTGAACCACTTTCAGAGGCTTCCCTTCTCATTGTACATGACTGGATTGGAAACTCCTGCTAACTCTTACCCAAACTATACATAATCACATGCCAAAATTCACTTTAGTCTTCAACACTTAAAAACAATTACCAAAATATTTGTCAAATTCTTTAGTAGATCTCAGCACGAATGAGGAAAATGTCATGAGAGGTGGCATGTGTGGGAAGGGCTGTGGATGTCTGTGCTGCGAGACTTGTGGAGAGGGACAAGGTTTAGGGATAGCCCTGCCCCAAGGTGTCCTTGGCTCCAAGCAGTCAGTCACCCCCACAGTGCTGCTCTGCATTTGCTTTGGGGTTTTTTGACCCATCATTTCCAGAAAGCTCTGGCAGAGCAAAGGATCTATGTACTATGCAAAATGAAGTCAGCTACATATCCTCCCATGGTACATTTGCTATCTGGTGGTGTGGA